TGCCTCGAGGATCTTGGTGAGTGCCTGGAGCGCCTCTTCGCCGATGCGGTCCTTAAAACTGCCGGGATTCCGGGATTCCGGGATTGGGGTTTAGGGTTTAGGGTTTAGGGTTTAGGGTTTAGGGTTTAGGGTTTAGAGTTTAGGGTTTGGGATTTAGGGCTTAGAAGCTGAGAGTTTAGGGCTTAGGGTTTCTAGGGCTTCGGGTTCAGGATTCGGGGTTTTAAGTCGAAGCCTCGCATCTCAGACGCGCTTAGAACTTCGAGCACAACCTACCCTCAAACCTCGAACTTGGCCCTAAGCCATCCCCCCCCCCCCCCCCCCCCTTTAAAACCCCAAAACACCAAAACCCTAAAGACACCCTAAACCCCCCAACGCCTAAACTCAAGCATTAAACTGACCGCCCACACACCCTCAAACCCAAGCCCAACAAACCCAAAGGCTGCAGACCCCGAAGACCCTAAGCCTGCTAAAGCCTCTTAAACCCCCAAGCTCTCTGTAAACCCTAAACCCAAAATCCTAAACCTTATGTATAACCCCTCAACCCTGAAGCCCCTCTCGAAATCCTAAACGCTAAACCCTAACCCTAAACCCTACACCCTAAACCCCCGAATTTACTGAAGCGCAGCCCAGGCACTGATGACTTCTCGGTGTCCCTGACAGGTGGGCTCGGGGCTTCAGGGTTTAGCAAGGGTGTAGGGCCTAAACAGGGTCAGGGTTTAGGGTTTAGGGTTTAGGGTTTAGGGTTTAGGGTTTAGGGTTTAGGGTTTAGGGTTTAGGGTTTAGGGTTTAGGGTTTAGGGTTTAGGGTTTAGGGTTTAGGGTGTAGGGTTTAGGGTTTAGGGTTTAGGGTTTAGGGTTTAGGGTTTGGGGCTTTATAAGGTCTAGACAGGGTTCAGGCTTTTGAGGGTATTAGCGTTTAGGGCTTGAAAGTTTAGGGGGCGGGTCCTGGCCCTACTCAGAGTTTCATGGGTACGTAGTCAAAAGTAAGGTTCAACAACCCTAAACCCTAAACCCTAAACCCTAAACCCTAAGCCCTATGCCCTAAGCCCTAAACCCTAAGCCCTAAACCCTAAACCCAAATAGATATTCCTTCCCCTTCCCAAGAACTAAAGTTGCTTATGAACACCCCCTCCCTCCACCCCCTAACAAACATGTAGTCGAACATCCCTGCTGTGCATCGAGGCCCCCCCACCCCCACCTGAACCCTAAACCCTAGACCCTAAGCCCAAAACCCAAAACCCAAAACCCTGTAAGCCCTAAACCCTGTCGAGTCAACCCCAAACCCAAAACCCCAAACCCCAAACCCCAAACCCCAAACCCTTAACCCTAAACCCTAAACCCTAAACCCTAAACCCTAAACCCTAAACCCTAAACCCTAAACCCTAAACCCTAAACCCTAAACCCTAAACCCGAAACCCTAAACCCTAAGCCCTAAGCCCTAAGCCCTAAGCCCTAAGCCCTAAGCCCTAAGCCCTAAGCCCTAAGCCCTGTCAAGCCCAAGACCTGAACCCGTAAGCCCTTGAACCCTCAATCCGCCTCAGTGCATCAGCTCCTGCCACAAGCAGAACACCACCCTCAGCGGCCTTGACCTGTCGGCTGAGCTTACTTTCTGGGGTTTAGGGTTTAGGGTTTAGGGTTTAAGGTTTAGCGTTTGGGGTATGAGATCTTGGAGATTCGAGCTGCCTTGGAGGCCCCACAAACTCCAAACGGGGTTTGCTTGTTCTAAATCCGAGTGCATGCCCTCATTGTCAGAGGTGCCCTATGTAAGGGTTTAGGGTGTAGGGTTGAGGTTTAGGGATCTAATCCAGAACCACCCCTTTCAAAAACCCAACTCCTCAACCTTAGGGCGCGCCCTTTGTTGGGGGGATGCGCGCGCTTGGCCGACGCACCCTCCTGGCATTGTATTCAACTTCCATCCCCAACGTCTTTTCTGCACGTCTTTTCTGCAGGCCACATTGCATCATGTGTAAAACCCCCCACAAAAGCCTAAACGCAAAACCCTAAACCCTGGACCTCAACCGTAAACCCGAATCCCTTAAAGGCTTGAATACGGGAAACTCCCTGAGACGGTACATTTATTTGACTAGTGACTAGTTTGGGGGTTGTTCTAGCGAGAAAAGTCCTCCTTATAGGTCACCCCAACGCAACCGCACCCACCTACTTCTCAGTACGGAGCTAAACTGCTATACTTGGCACTAAAACTCCACGAGCATGGTCGGCCGTAGGGCACAGAGTGACTCGGTTGGTGATGATGCGGTTGGGATCCGCCATACCGCACCAGAAAAACTGTGCACAGTCAGGGGCGGTCGCTCGCAGAGCAACCAGCCGGCTTGGGCTTTGCCGGTTTGCGCTTGAGCCAACGTGCTTTCAGCTGGAAACCTTTCGGCCTGTAAACTGTAGATGTCCAGGTGCCGCGAGCCGCATGCCGAGCGCACCAAACAGCTTCGACAGTAAGAGCCATGGCTTCCAGTTTGTGCACATCTTTCTTGTTTCTTGGCCATCCAAAACGAGCTTGAAGAGCATCAGCAGGACGTCCACAGGTCTTGCGAAGAGCACAAGACCAGAAAAGGTGGTGCTGGTCTGCAGGGGCATGATTGCACAACGGGCATCTCTTGAAGGCCTCAGGCACATCTTTACATTTGCCAAACGCAGCAGGAGACACAAAGGCTCCAGTAAGGACAGCCGCCGCAGCGCCACCAGTGTTAGCCAGCAACTCTCTGACCGCAGGGCACAGACGCCGACACCCGCCCGACTCCCAGGCTCAGGTTTAGGGTTTAGGGAGAGGGTTGGTTTATCGAGGTTAGGGTTTATCAATTGGGAATTTGGGTTTTCGGGGGGTGGGTTTCTCAAAGCGTGTTGAAAAATCAAAGCTTTGATGGGGATCCTAGGAATGGCAAGGGTGCCCTTTTCGGTTTAAAAGGGCCTATAAGGGAACCTAAGCCCTAAAAACTGGAATAAGGGCCTAATCCGGGGATCGCCCCCCAAAGGGTTCCCTAGCCCTAAACCCTAAACCCCCAACCCTAAACCCCAAACCCTGGGGTTTAAGGTTTAGTCTTTTCAGGTTGCGAGCTCTGAAACCAGGGCCCGAGCAATCTTTTTGATCTTCGACTCCACCTCAAGTTACCGGGCAGTCTGGGAACTAGATGCCCTGCAAAACCCTAAACCCTAAACCCTAAACCCGAAGCGGCTAGGATCTTAGGGTCTCGGGCTTCTGGTGGCACTCTCAGGTTCCATGGCTTTTGATTCTGGCTTCGGACTTTTGGGTGTGGGCTTAGGACTTTGGGGTTAGGGTTGAGGGTTTAGGGTTTACGGGTTTCGGGTTTCGGGTTTCGGGATTTCGGGTTCTAGGGGCTAGGGGTTTAGAGGTTTTTAGGGCTTTAAGGATTTCAAAAGGGTTGAGGGTTTGAGGTTTTATTACCAGGGCTGTAAGGTTCAGGACGTTAGGGTCTGATGGATTTAGGGCTTTAGGTTTAGGGCTTTAGGGCTGAGAGTTCGAGGGTTTAGGGATCTATGTGTCTAAGGCATTTAAAAGCGTAAATATACCCCATGAATTCTGCAGGCGCGGGCATCATGTCTTGCAGTGATTCGATGCATTGGCAGTAAGCCCTCTAATCCCCAATTCTACACTAAAAATCCCCGTCCTAACTCCTAAACCCTGCATGCGAGCTCCTGGCATCTCCTCCTCCACTGCAGCCTGCCACCAGATCCTGCGTTGGGGGGTAGGTTTTAGGGTGTTCATCTGCGGACGCGCACTGGCAGTTGCGGCGCGCCTTTCTCTAGATTTAGGGGCCCCGCGCTCGCGCGGCTTAGTAGCGCCCACCCCTAACCCAAGCTATTCTCTTCTAGGGTATAGGGTTCCACCCCCGACCTACCCCTACAAGAGGGGATTGTTATTCACTCAATTTGCCCTGCGCCGATCCGATTCCCAAGAGTGCCCGGAGCCAGGTTTTGTTCGAATGTTGTTGTTGTTGCTGCAGCTTTTTAAATGCCCTTCATATACGCCTTGTATACGCTTACACGGAAACCCTTGAAATCCTCAAACCGGCTGTGCTTAGGGCCTTTTGGGGTCGCTCGGTTTGGAACCAAGGCGTCTTTCAAGCGGAAGAAGCCCAAAGGGTATACAGGGCTTGAATGAAAGGATGTGGGCATACGGTGTGGGCATTGGGTGCTACACTGTATGTGGGGTTAAACATATATAGGGCAGCTGTAGTCGCAACTGAGAACCCGTACCCAGGGTACTTATACAGCTGCTGACACCCTGAGTCCCTAAACCAAAACCCCCTCAAAGTGGGAGGAGCTGAAGGCTGTCCTAGTGGTTTAGGGTTTCGGGACGAAGGGCATCGCGACAAGTAAAAAAAGCCCCAGCTTGGCGAGAGGTCGCCATTGCTCGGGGCGCTGGGCACCGGCGTTCAACGTCAGACACAAGCTGCATTCCCCACCCAAGACCGAAATAAGCCACCAACTAAGCCGCTAAGCCTACAATCCTGAACCCTAAACCCGAAACCCTAGACCCTAAACCCTCTGTGGCGCCAACTCCAAACCCCAAGATGTCCCACATAAGGAGCCCTAATCCATGGACTTAGAGCCCCACCCAATTCCACACCGGATGTTGGCCGCCTTTCCTTCCAAACCCCGAAAACCTTACACCCTAAAGTCTAGAACCCTGCACACCCTATAGTCTACAATTATATATGTATATGTCTATGTCTATGTATACTTGCTGGGTCTCAGCGGCTTGCAAGAAACTAAGTTTTTAGTTTTTTTGCACTACATATATGAGTAAGTTATTAAATATATATCAATGCAAGAATGGATTGCCTGGAGTGGCCTGGCACGCCTTTTTGTTCCTCAGTCACGCATTCCGATCTTGAACTCCACCCGCTCGAAATGGTCCTGGCCAATCCAAGAAGCTGGCACAGTCAGGGTTAGCTGCAGCACGACGCAAAACTCAATCAGGCTCATCCTTCTTTCTGCTTTGCACAGACCCGGACTCGGACTCGGTCACCCCTGGTCGTAAAGAACCCCAAGCTTCATGAGGAGCTTGTCCAGATTCCAGGACTTGCCGCTCTCAGCAGAATCGCTGTCCGAGCTCAGGCTCGGGCTCGGACACAAATTAAAAGTCAATTTCGGATGCCGAGGTTTCTCAGGCATCCCTCCCTTGTAAACTCGAAGCTTACAGCCATTCAAGGCCCCATGCGCGAACAACACATCCGAGTGTGCCGGATATTTGTTGGCAAAACCCTCGGTCAGATACAAGTGAAAGTGCAGGTCCAAGGCTCGTTGGAAGGCGTAACAATTGCCCTTCTGCATTGCGGTCTGAATGAAATCTCGGTCGCAAACTCGGACTCCTCTCAGTCTGGCTTCCAGTGCCTCCGGCAAGTAAAGCCCTTCGGATATGTTGGCGACCATTAAAACGTCGGCCGACGCAAAGTCCATGGTCAAGCGGAAGCGGGCACTCACATTCTCGGGCCAGTGGGCACCGTGCGCCATCTTGACGCAGACAGTGTTGCCAAGCTTGGGGGCTTTGGCCCGGGCAGCACTCGGAGCATTGGCGGCCATGGGGCCAACCACGGACCCTGTTGCATGGACATATGCAGGTACACAGCCTGCCTTCGTTTCAAAATCAACCTTTTTTCGCTTCTTGACGAGCTCGATCTGCGAAGCCACTGCGGCATTGATGACCTCATCTTCCATCGTATCATCCTTGTCCGCCACGGACTCTGGCGTCACCACCTCCTGGTTCTGCTCGGGCGCCTTTCTTTTGCTGGACGAGGACGCAGAGCTGGAGGCAGGTTGTTCCACGCCTCCGGCTAGAGTCAGGATTATTCATGGCCATAGGTCAGAAACAAAAGCAACATCATAGCTCGGAAAACTATAAATAAACCTTGCGGCTGAAATGCCCACTCTGAATTCGGCGGCTTCCGCAACCATCTCGGACATCGTGTCTTGGGACCCTTTTGCGCCCGTTCGCACAGCACTGTCGAGTGACTCCTTGCGTTGCCTCATCTGGGCTGCTATGGATTTGCTCGAGCTCGCCCGCAATGGTGCCAACCTCGGTTTGTCATTGCGCTCTTGCACGGACAGGAGGTCTCGGGCAGGTAACTGCTTCTCGCCGTAAAACTCAGCGTAAGCCTTTTGGGCTCGCAGGCCAAAGTAGCTTGCCTGCCAACGCACCTGCCGATCTCGACTCTCGGTCGCGGACGTAGTCAGGGACTCGGGCTGGAAGACACTGGCTCGGCCACTCATGTTCTGAACGTTGAGTTTAACACTATCCTCGAGCCGGAAAATGTTGAGGTGATGAGCCCTGCTTTTCTGCTCGGTCAAGCTGATCTCGTGCAACCACCGCTCCACATTGCAGGTGGACGTCATGAACACGAGCGAATGCTTGATGAGCTTCACGGCCTCGTACCTGTTTCGGATCTGGCTCTTTCTCAGCTCGGACAGGGTCTTCACCCAGGCCTGCTTGGATGGCTGCTGGCTGGGATTCTTCGCGTGCCACAAGGCTCGAGCAAAGAGACCATGGCCAGGTCCGTGATCCTCGGGCGCCTGTCCCCAGAACTGCTTCCTGAGTGAACAGGCGGCTGGGACTTTAACACACATAACTCAGTCTCTGCCACTGGCTCTGAACTACAAATCCAAATTATTAAAAAAATCAGCTACCAAGGTGCCAGAGCATCTTGCCGTCTAAATTCCACTGCTTTGCGACTCGGCCGATCATCGTTTCTCGCTGCCTCATACTCAGGTCCGCATGCACGTCCAGTGCAGAAAGAGAATTCACATACTCCCACAAGGGAAAGTTCGCTCGGAAGTAGGCGTCCACAAGCTTGTAGACTCTGCGCAGATCTTTGCGGATCTCTGCCTCGGATGTTGTTTGCCAGACACTGAGCACGTGCTCGGGCCTTGCACTCCTGGAGCCACGGGGGCGTCGGCCAAGCACTCGGACGGCACCCAGTTTCTTCAAGGTGTTCATGGCCTCCACTGTCACGGACTTGTCTGCAGTCAGAAGGTTCCCCTCCTTGAACAGGTGCCTCATCTGGTGCATGATCTCGGACGCCTTGCGATGGGACGTGCACGAGCACAAACTTTACTGCTACTCGGACTCGTGCAACCATTTTCGGACGCTCGGCCTGAGTTCCGCACAGGCATGCGTCGTCCTCGGACACGTCACATAGACGAAGAAACCGGTGACAAACCAACATCGCGTCGCACACGACGGCTGAACGCACCACTGCCTTGGTGGCACCATCACCTGTCATCCGGCCTAACACGTTCTCTGCCCATGTCACATCCTCGGGATCACCCTCTTCACAGCATCGGGCCAAAAACTCGTACAGCGAGGGCAATGCCTTCAGAATCTTGAACAAGGGCAAAGACGCGGACTCGAACCGTTGCATGGCAAACGAGAAACTCCTCAACGTGCGACAAAACTCGGTCTCGGACTCGGGCGGCTGGCTCGCCTCGAACCACAAACCCAGTTTCCGGGATTTCTCCAGGACTCGGGCGACGGAGTGCTCCCCTGTCACCAATATGTCCAACAAGCCGCACATCTCGGTCAAGCTCGTCCACGTGCTGCGCTGACACGCTCGCATCCTGTGAGCTCGGTCTCGGACGATGAACTTCAACTTGGGTAACTCCGTGGCTGCCAGTGTCTGCAATGCCTGCTGCTCGGACAACCCACCGTCCGCCACGGCCACAGTAAGAATGTCCTGGCTCTCTCGGGCTTTCTCTCGGGCTTTCTCTCGGGCTTTCGCATCTCGGGCATCTAACCCTAAAGCCACTAAACCCTCATTCCTGAATCACTCTGCATCGTTGCACCTCGGGCCGGTCCTTGAGTCTCTGGAAGAGTCTCTCGTCCAAAGCGTCCTCGGGCCCAACGACTCCTCCTTGATCCCTTCGGCCAAGCCGTCTCGTGCAAAAAGACTTCAACGTGGCCATGACGGCTCGTGCAACATTTTCCTCAGCTGTCTTTCGTGCAGACGCCCTGACAAAGGACCAGTGTTGCACAAACGTTCTCCGTGCCGACACGTCTCTGGACCTGGCCCATAGTCTCGGGCAATGCCAATCAAGCAGTCATAGGTGCCGCTGGCCGGCAGCCACTTATTGTGCTTCAGACCTTCACAAATGTTTTTTTTTGCTCGCTCTCTGTCTCTCTCTCTCTCTCTCTCTCGGTCTCTATCTCTCTCTCTCTCTCTCTCCCTCTCTCAGAGAGCCTCTCTCCCTCTCTCCCTCTCTCCCTCTCTCTCCCTCTCTCTCTCTCTCTCTCTCTCTCTCTCTCTCTGCCTTGCCATCCCGAGGGCTCTACATGTTGCCCGTGCCCGCCCCGCCTGAGTAATAGAACCGTCCGGCTACCAACACGCAGGAATCTCGTTCATCGAGAGCAATGCCACAATGTTCTGCCTCTGCAGAAGAAGCAGACTCGGCACGCACCGCACTTTTCGCTCCGTCCCCAACAACACATTTGATTCCCCGTCCTTCTCCAAGACACACATATCCTGGCCCTCCAGCACTCGGGCCATTGCTGTCACCATCTGCTTGCAAACTCGCTCTGACAAATCCTTCTCACCGCTGTTTTCAGCGTATGCTCGAAAGTCCTTGGCAAGCACATCAAGTCTGATCTGCAATGCCCACCGACTGCTGTTCTCTGCAGCTGAGATTCTCTAAACGTGTCTCGTCGGGCAACGACCACTCCAGCGAGACGAAATCGGTCTATCCGAGGAACAGAATCATTGATCCCCGTCGCCACAGCCAGTATACCAGAGCCACCCTCGGCCTCCCCTTGCCGCGCCGCCTGTTTCGCAGGCAAACTGGCGAGGGCTCGGACATGGCCAGCTGATTTCTCGTGTGCTCTGAAAGCGTGGGGTCCCATCATGTGCACGGACGACGCGGATAACCGAGCGAAGGAACAAGACCTTGTTTGCAAAGCTCCATTCAAATTTCAGACGCAACAACAGATATCTCACTCTGAAACTCGTCTCATCAGTCACAGCCAAGGGACCCTGGCACCTTGAAGCTGTTGCACAGCCAGCATCCAATGGCCCACTCGCCCCAGGTCTCGGGCCGCATCGTTAGCCAGCTGGCTTTCTTGCCTTAGCACATGCGACAACGTAGTTGCTTTCCAGGCTGCACTTACAAACTTTTACCCATCACGACTAACTCCGGCAAAGTTCTGCTGCTGCTGCTGCTGCTGCTGCTGCTGCCGGGCATCCGTTCAGCGGGTGGTCGAACGTGTACTGTCGACGCCAGGCGTGCTGCTCGGACTCGCTGTGCAATCTCTTTGACCCTTTCCGGAGTTTGCCCAGAAAACCAGCTTCAAAGAAACATCGGGCACCTCGGACTCGGCCCTCCACAACAATTGCTTAGTAATGCGTGGGCTCGGGCCGAGGTCTGGCAATTCGCACTATTCTCAACTTCAAGGCAGGGGGCATTCTCCACGTGGGCGGTCGCACTTCTGGAAGTGCTGCTCGTCGGACTCTGCTTCTGCATCCCCGTCTCGAGGGACAGCACACTGATGAACCGGCAGCAAACAGTGGTCACGGGCATGGGAGCCTCGGCAGGGATGCTGTGTGACTCCGCCTCGCTGACACGCGAACGAGACCCGGCCTTGGATCCGCAAATCAGCTGGGGCTGCCATGTGCTGGCACGTTTGGTTCGATGATGTCGCAATGTTTCGAACTCTGCCATGCTCTTCTGAACTCTAGTTGCCGAAAATTTATTTGCGCTGGCAAAATCATGGTCTGCATGTCTCGGACTCGTGTCGCTCAAACAGCGGCTCAACGACAACGGCGTCTGCGCACGCCACACCCGCACGAACAAGTCAGTGCTGCGCAGCGCAAACAATCAGACACATGTAATCTCTGGTCCAGTCCTCCGAAGGCTTCTCGAGCAAACTCACTGGCAGCCTGGCACATGGCAGCAGTTCTCATGAGAGCTTGGGCAAACTCGGTGTCAGGCCTTCTGTGAGATGACTATAGTCGAAAGAATGTTCCCGACCTCAGATGGACTCGGCTTCTGAATGTCTGTCTACTGTCTGACAGCATGCACTGGCTACCTGTGCCACCCTACCTTACCCCTCTGCTTGCTTCTTTTGCGCCTCCCGCAATCGAGCACGCCAGAGATCTCGGACAGTCACACTCAAGCCGGCAACACCACGCAGAGGCTCCCATGAAGTTGAACTTTCCAGAACCGCTGCGAAGAATTATTTAAGTATTACCCAATTGCATGGAAGCCGCTAACCCTACTGTGGCAAACACTTGGTTTCGGCGGGCATTAAACAATTTCGGCACTCACTCACCCAACTTCTTCGTCGATGCGTTCGAGCTCTCCTCCGAGCTGCTGCTCTCCTCCGGCTCCAACGGGTTGTCATCCTCGTCAATGCGGGACTTTCTTGGCTTCTCCGGCTCTCGAACCTTGATCTTCTTCTCAGGCGTCTGCACCGCAGTTTCGGCCTCGGGCAAGGCCTCTGTCTTGCGCGGAACGACTTGCGACACGGCCCCTGGATTCGGGCTTCCCCGGAGGCCAGTTGCTGCCTCTGGCTCCGTCTCGGGCACGCTCTGTTCCATGGACAAGGCTCTGTGGAATCTCTTGTCATTCTTGTTCATCACTCGGGCCTTCAAGCTCGCCTTGAGGAGGTCACCCAACAGCTCCTCGTGCTGCTTACTGGAGACCAGCATCAGCACAGGTGTTCTCGCGGCTATGCACTCGAGCGCGAACACCCCGGATCCGGGAGTCAGCAGCACCGCTCGTTCTGGGTCGTGCACTGCGTGTAGAAACATTCGATACACGGCCTCGGACTTTTCAAAGTAGCACAAGGGCATCTCCTCCGACTCTTTCGTGTCCGCAGCGAACACCTGCCAGGGTCTGGGGCGCTAGGAAGGATTGCTCACACGGGCTGCGGGCCTCGGGCGTGGAATCTGTCACCATGCCCTTGGTCAGGGACGATGGCATGACCTCAGTCGGATTCGATTCTAAATAACCCGCACTCGGACTCGATACATAAGAACATGCCGGCCGCACGATCTCCTTCTGCTTCTTGGTGACCAACTTCAAGCCATTCAACGGGTCGGGCAGCGGCATGGCAGTGATCACCTTGCAAAGTGTGAGCTTACTGTCTTACTCTCTTACGCAATGACAGGGCCTTGCTGATTCCATATCTTGCCGCGGCACGGGCGAGGCCGTGGAGCTGCAGCCAGGCGCTACCCATTGGTCAATTTCTCGGGCTTCGATGAGGCCTGCTTCGCTCCCTCTTCCGAAAAACAGTGTCTCGCGGCCAGCCACGGTCGAAAGGTCTCCAGCAGGCTGGACTTTGCGGCGCTTCGCGGCTCCCAGGCACCTGGGCCACAATAATCATTATGTTCAATGACTCTCTCTCTCTGCCTCTCTCTGCCTCCTGCTCGCTTTCTCTCGCTGTCTCCGTCGCCGTCGCCGTTTCTCTCTCTCTCTCTCTCTCTCTCTCTCTCTCTCTCTCTCTCTCTCTCTCTCTCTCTCTCTCTGTGTCTGTCTGTCTGAGTATCCGACTCCTTCCGACAGGAGTCGCGGCGACGCTGGAGGCTTGCTTGGTCTGGAACCAAGAGCACGGAATGCGTCACCACATCCAGCCTGCCCAAACTCTTGCGAATCTCGGACATCCCCTTCTGGACACCACTGTCCAACGTCATGAAGACGTCCTCGCAGGGTTATCATTACTACTCAGCTCAGCAGGACCAATGTTCATTGCCGCCGTCCCGCCTCGTCCTTGCCGCACTCCTCGAAGGCTCTGGCCAGATTGTGGAACGCCACTTTGTCAAAGACGGGAGTCAGTAGATACATGTTCTGGTTGAGTCGGGCGTATGGCTGGTTCTCGGTCGCAACCCCAGAGTCCATGTACCAGAGCGTTGTGCCCTTGCCCTTCGAGAGAAGGCTGTGGTTTTTCACAGCCTCGAGCCACGCACAGCTCGCGTCTCGGACGTTGCCGTGCACGAAGTGCACATAGAACGAGAACTCCTCCTGCTCTGGACACAACGCAATAAAAGCTCAAACTGCTGCTGCTTCTAAGACTAGTCAACTACTTTGCTTTCGGCCGCGAAGGGCCTGGACGGCATTCTCCACTTGCTTCTCCCGCAACCTCTCAGGCGACATCTTTGACGGGGAAACCTCATTCAAGGACTCCATGCTGAACACCCTGGCCGCGACAGCTGGCGCCGATGTCGTCTCCTCCGCAGGCACTGGCTCGGGCTCTGTGGCCTTGGGCTTGGGTTTCATGGCCATGTTCCAGACATCGGTCGGCTCTCGGACAGCGGCGAGGAGAGCAGGATATCTCTCCTGTCACAGACGCACAGACACGCACAAAGACACACAGACACACACACCAACACACAAACACACAAACACACAAACACACAAACACACAAACACACAAACGCACAAACACACAAAGACACAAAGACACAAACGCACAAACACAGAAACACACAGACACACACGCACGCACGCACGCACGCACGCACGCGTACGTACGCACGCACGCACGCACGCACGCGCGCACACACACACACACACACGCACCCACACACACACACAAGCACACACACACACACACAAGCACACACACACACACACACACAGACACACACACACACACACACACACGACACACACACACACCACACACACACACACACACACACACACACGCACACACCACACACCACACACACACACACACACACCCACACACACCCACGCACACACACACACACACACACACACACACACACACACACCACACACACACACACACACACACACACACACACACACACACACACACACACACACACACACCCCACACACACACCCACACACACACCCACACACACACCAACACACACACACACACACACCAACACACACACCAACACACACAAACACACACACCACACACACACACACACACACAC